CCCCACCCATCTGGTCTGGTCGACCACTCTGGGTGGCTTCCAATAAAAATATATACAGTGAAACATAAGAATATCACACATAGAAGTCTGCATTCAATCAGAACACATACAATAATAGAACAAATAAAGAAAGAAGAAGAAAAAAGAGTTAAATATTGACAGGAGGGAAGGCCTGAACATATAACCATGTTTTTAATTGACTCTTAAAAGATTTATTATGTTTAGAATATGTTTTACCTTTCTTCTAATAAAATAAGGATAAGAGCCATGGCTTTTTCTTGCCTTTCTCTGTGGCATTGCTGATTTTGGTAGGCAACATTGATTTTCAGTGGCACAATGTGGTGTTGGTGTTGCAAGTGGCAAAGGGAGGAGAAGGGATTGTAGCATTCGTCCAAACGGCAAACATGTTTGGCACAGATAATAATAATATTTTTTTTAAAATGCTCTGTTTACATGTTACCTTTGTGGCCTCAGGCAGCAGTGGTTTTCTGTCTTTCCTCCCTGACATTCTCACTTATTTATGTCAATTTTTAAAAAAATTTAACATCAACAAATTATTAAATGCAAAGTACTACTTGAAAGTAATTGTGGTTCAAAAGCCCTGCAGCCCTGGACGATTATGCTTTAAAAACCAGAAAAACCACTAATACATATAGCTATAAATTACTGTTGGCAAGAAATTAGCTAGCATTTTATGTAACCATGATTCTTTGAGAGTTAACACCTCCTTTTTCATGGTATTCCCAAAATGATGCTGGAGAAACAGCTATGCCAGTTTCCTGTCCCATTGTAGGTGTTAATTAACTTGGCCATATTAGGGTAATGCTGTTATCACCAACTGCTGCTGCTGTAAATGATTACTAGGTCTGATGTATTCTCGAAGGCTTTGCTTTGTTTTGATTACTAGGTTTGTTTTGCTTACATTTCAGCTTTAGTTTTTCCCCCTAAATGGATAAAAAGCATTTGTTGTAAAACTTAATTCATAAAACTAAACCCTGAGAACTACTGTCATTTGCATCATCCTGTTGCCAGGAAGTTACAGTTAATCCACATATTGAAGGTTGATTGTCCATGTTAATAATACCATTGTCACCTTGGCAGCTCATTACTAGGTGTTAATATGCAATTGTCATTCCTATTAAGGCCTGGTTCCTACCTATCCATCCCTAATCCTGTTCCTTCTTGGATCCCCAGACCGTGAACACTGTATACAAACTGTTCTGTGTCTGTGGAGATGTGGACTACAATCCATGAGAGCTCTCAGTGAAACCAATTTCTTAGTCTTAAAATTGCCACAAAAGTTTTGATTTTGCTGATCTTGCTGCTCAAATAGGCTTAACGCAGCTGCCTCTCTGAAGACTGCCACAATACATTTATTAGTTTTTAAAGCAAGCGTAGGGAAATATTGGCCTTCCAAATGGACTTTGAACTGTGGAATGATGGGAATCTGGTCTGTCCATCCGCCCACCCAACTTTTATATCACCAATCTGGCTGCATGGCCACTCTGGGCAGTTTAGAACATACTAAAACAATACCCCCTTCCCCAAATCAAACATCATGGTTCTAAAAAAATCATAAAAATCAATGTTACAATATACAATTGTTCTTTCGTTTGTTTAGTCATTTAGTCGTGTCTGACTCTTCGTGACCTCATGGACCAGAGCACGCCAGGCCCTCCTATCTTCCACTGCCTCCCGGAGTTGGGTCAGATTCATGTTGGTAGCTTCGGTGACACTGTCCAACCATCTCATTCTCTGTCGTCCCCTTCTCCTCTTGCCTTCACACTTTCCCAACATCAGGGTCTTTTCCAGGGAGTCCTCTCTTCTCATGAGATGGCCAAAGTATTGGAGCCTCAGCTTCAGGATCTGTCCTTCCAGTGAGCACTCAGGATTGATTTCCTTTAGAATTGATAGGTTTGTTCTCCTTGCAGTCCAGGATCACTAATAACCAAAACAATATCAACATAGTCTACTCATATAGGGAGCCAAAGCTTCCTTACCTGTGTCTCAAGGTACCACATAACTCCTTGTGACACAGTGCTAGAGGAGGTTATAAGCTGCTCCATAACTCTCTACTTGTTTAATAAGTGTGACTTTAGATTCAATGAGAAAAGGTAGCTGTCTAGAGCCGGTAGTATTTTCCACTGTCGGACCTGCATGACAACAGAATCTGCATTTGCTTAAATTCTTCTTTCTGTTCCAGTACTTACAATGGAGCCATTTGATCCCTTATTAAATGTGACACATCTCCCCATCTGTGTAATTACAGGTAGCAGCTTGAGCTGTGGCATTTTAAACACTTGCATGGTTACATAACACAAATTCTTATATGTAAACAACCAATTGAGAATCTTAATTGTTTTCTG